TTAGTAGTTTCTGTTTACCAATATGGACATTAAAACAAACACCGCAATTAAACTAAATCCACAGAAATCAGAGAATGACATTCGAGAGGAACATTCTCAATCCTTTTCTATTAAGATAGCAAATGGGAAGATAGGGTCTGCGGAAAACAGGATCCCCAGACATCTGGTTAAAGACATGGCTTGACAACTCAGCTGCTGTCAAGTATAAAGAGCAAAACTTTCTTGAATTGCTTTAAGCAGGTATTAGCATTTAAGCATACCTGTTTCCAGACAACCTTGCTTTACAGCATCAGTGCATTTATGTGGAAAAAGATCCTTTTTTATATTTACCTTAATCTAAACTTGTGTAAGGGTCATTTCAATATAAAGAGTAAAATCCAACTCATGACACTTATACTGTACACACTTAAAGCTGTGGGCATTCTCACAGCTCCCAATATCCTTACACAGTCCTCAGATGAGTTCATTAGGCAATTCCTCTGCTTTCTAGCTGAGGAATTAGCAAGAGTGTGCCTGGAAACCAAAGGTTCACTGGCACATGAGAGGACAAGGACACAGTCAGAATTTTGCAGGCTTGCCAGAGAGCTGAAGAACCCATCAATTAACTATTATGTGTGAGGCAGAAGCCTTCAAGTTCCAGTAAATGCAAAACCTGCTTCATACTAGGTAACATGCCAACTTGCTGCAGTACAGTGCAGAGTTCCCAAACCTGTTCTTTGCTTCTGCTGTGTTCCTGCTCATCCTAAGGAGCAGGCTGCCTCCTATTACAGCAACTTACTGCTCATCAGCTGATCCTTAGTATCTCACAACACCTGCAATAGAGGAACCCCCTCTGCAAGCAAGAAGTTTGAGCAAGAGCTGGTATATAGCAACTGACACCACCACCCAAAAAAATGTGTAGTAGTTTGTCACACTAGCTAGCATCTGCAGATCCATTACATGTACGGACTGTGACTGCCTGTTCTGACCCCCAGTCACAGAGGTCACAGCGTCCCACTGCACAAGCACGTCAGTCTCAGTGTAAAGATTTCAATGAAAGCTTAGGCAGGCCAGCATCGTTGCTCCAACAGTTTACCCTTAAATCCCTTTTTTTTTCCCAAGCTTCTACTTCACAAAACACAGTCCTCAACTAAGTATAAGCTTTACTGTCAAAGTGAAATCTTGGCCTGAGTGAAGACACCAGCAAAAAATCCTACTGCATTTAATGAGCTCATTTCTGTATTTTGTTGTATGACATTCACATGACAAAATACAGGCATCTACATCCAGGTTAACCATCCAGTTTCCCTTAATCATCAGTGAAGAAAAACAGGCACTTCTAAATTCATCTTCTCCTAGAGAAGACATCTCACATAGGTTGACTGATATACACCGAAAACAGTTTTTTACTTCCTCAGGCTGAAACAAAGATTCAAGTGACAAGCTCTATATTGCAGATATCTAAAATAAGCAGAAAGAAACCCACACAAAATTTTATTCTTGGTTTTCAGATGAAAACAGAATTTGTATAAACGGAACCAAGCATATCACATAATACAGACTGCTCTGTAGAAAAGACCAGAATACATAGTTATTCAACACTGCTTCTCCAGAAAGGCTCCAAATATTTACATACCAGACAATGAGATGAAAACATAAAAGTTGACTGACTGTATGACCAATGAGCTGAAATAAACTTTTAAAATAATTTGATCAGGTTCCCTGGAGATGCCAAAAGATTAGCATGTTTTTGATACTGTGATAATTGATAATTGATTTTCTATACGAATAAAGTTACTTCAGCTATTCTGTATATTTTCTGTACTGTAGCATTGCACTTTAGTATCTCCTAACAGATTAAAAATTAACACAGTAATAATTTTAATTCTCTGTAGTTTCAACTTCCTAACTGTACTCTTTTCTACAACAGGATATACTCACCGATTTATACAACATCACCTCTTCCTTGCTTCAATTACTTAAACAAGAGTTATATATGGTAACCTTCCTGCATTTCCATCCAGCTTCAAAAATCTTTCCTCTAACTGTTCCAATTTTCACCTTGCCTACCAAAACTAACATTCCATTTGTAATCTCTGAACAGAATTACCAGGAATGGGAGAGGAAAATCTTGTGCCCTCTTACAGAACCTTGTCATACATCACAGAATACTTTTTTCCTTGTCTTTTTGTCAACATTGCTTGTTCCTAACAATGGAACTTATTTTCCTTATTTTTCCTTTCTTACCATTCCTAGTTACTTATCTTACATAAAACTATGCATCATACCTCCTACTATGCCCTCAAGGAGAAGATCAGACTACTAACGGATAGAAATATCTCAGTAAGACACAAATAGTAGAGATACAATATAGAAAAATCTAGACCATAACACTAATTCTGAAACCGAAAATTGTGAAATACACAACTACTGGACAATGGCCAGTTTTTCCAAAATAAATCAAAATTCTTAACTACAGCTCCTGTAGACCTCAAATGTTTAAAAACAAAATTTAAAAATTTTCTAATCAAAAAAAATGTTAAATATTGGATGTATATAGCCAACGGAAACTATTCCAGATTCTATCAAGACTACAACTTTTGCTGAACTCTATTCAGCAAAGTGTATTTCAAGAATTTATTCAAATAGGTTGCAGTAACTCCAACTCCACTATGTGATTTATGGATCTAACACGTATTTCTACAAGAACAAAATATATTTAAATCACAGACTGTTAGAACAGTGCAACAGGACTCTCACATTCAACATCTGTGAAAAAGAACATGCATCTTACACATGCACTGCTGTGCTTGAGCAAACTTATCCCCTCTACAGCCACCATTTCCATCTTTTCTTTTAATGCTAAATATATAGTTTTACTTTATATAGCCATAGGAAATTTCATTTTCCAACTTACTGGTTTGCTTTTTCCATTTACTAGATTAAATAACTTTAACAGCCTAGTTACCCTGCAGTTCAATGGAGGATATATTTTCAACATAATCTGTACTATGCAGCAAACATTTTGGAGAGGAAACTCGTTTTTTTTCTTGTGCATATCCTCATGTCTTATAACCTAAATAATTTTCCACGACTTTTCTCTTGCTTCACCTTTCAGCTTTACTGCTACTACACTACATGAACAAGGGCTCCTTCTCAAAAAGGACCAGCCAATGTTCAAGGTCGCTTCCAACCTAGAGATTTCTACGATTCAAAACACAGAAATCTGTCACAACATTTCAAGAGGCAATTATTAATTAGTATCTTGACAAACCATAGAGTTTGGCCTGGAATTATACTTCAATATTTTAAAGACTGTTTATTATTATTATATGTCAGCATACTAAAGCCTCTGTTTCAGTATCACAGGCTCTAAAGTCTTTCCTCTGTTGTGAAACTTTATAGTTGATACTTCTTTCCAAAATTCACACAATATTCTTTTAAAACACACTGTAATGAAGACTCAATTCATTATTAAAAAAAAGTCACAATGGCCAAAAGCAATTCTGAATATAAACAGTAATCTGTTCTTTAAAGTAAGGACTAAAGTATACGACATTGTTGCAGTGATAATTAACTACCTCTGAAGCATTGATACTGGCATTCATTTTAAGAAATACTAGAACTTAAAGGAGAACTTAAAGTGCTTCAGCTATCCTTCAGATGACAAATACTATGCTTATAATAGGTACTTATCAAACACATGCAAGGCAATGATTCTAAAGACTGTATGGATTCCAATTTGCATCAAAGCTGGTATGTCAGCAATGAGGTTGTAGTATTTTGTCTTTTTCTTTTTTTTTTTAGTGGACTGAACAAGTTTTCTTACTGGTAGCAGAACTATGTCTTGTGTCCAGCTTACGTGTGTCATATGAACCCTAGCTGATCCTGATGGCAATCTGAAGGACCAAACTGCTGCTTTAATCCAGTCCTGTACTAGCAGTGACAATTCAAACAGAACATAAAGATCAGACTTCTACCTGCCAGTACAAGTCATTTTCATGCAGCCAGCCATCTGCTTTCACAAAAGTTTTAAGAATCAAATACTTTTTGAGATCTATTCCTCCTAAAAATACAACTGAAAACCATGACCAAGCTCAAATATCAGCAGAAACTACTACATCTGAAACTAAGCACGATTGTTTTAAGTGTCGTTTCCTTCAGAAACCAGGCCAAAAGAAATTTCAGACCCTGTATCAGAGCCTCTCTGGAAAGAAAAAAAAAAAGAAATGAGCATGATGATGAAAAAAGACAAAGAACTGCCGCAGAAATAGGTATCTGGAAAATACACAATGTTTATCTACTCAACAGTTTATTGTATAACACATTGTTTTCAGACAATTATAATCCAAGACTTCTTTTCGTATTTAACAAGGGAGTGAATTTCTACTATTTATATCCTGATTAGTCAATATTCTGGAGATCTAATGCAGAATCAAACAAGCAAATAATTATTCAGATCAGTTCATGCCGAGTTTTGTTTTCTGGAACAAATAAGTTTATTCTCCTTCAGGAACACCAGATCTATTTAACTTCTAACCACCAGCTTCAAAATATTGCTCAGTATTTTAAGTTACTTCAACAACAGAAAAGTATACACCAAGTATAAAACTCTTATACACAACTTATTCAGAAAACATCACTTCAAATTAATACTAACCTCAAACTTTTATTAATTTTTAATTAGTATTTAAGAAAAATAAATCTTAAGGCTTAATACTTTTTCACATACAGACCAAAAAGTGTTTCCTTAATGATAGCAAATCAATCAGAATATTATCCTTCCATGAGGAAAATACATACATGAAAGGAGCTGCAGCCTTTCCATTTCCTTCCAATTTTTATCACCAATAGAGCCGTACACTTGAATGAGAACAATTGTTAGAAGAAAAATTGAAAGACACCAGTAACGTAAGACCTGAAAACTTTTTGGGATGACTTAATTTAATAGTATATAGCATCTTAAAAAATCTTCTTCATGATTTGTTTTATAAACACAGAAGCCTAAAATCTGTACTTACTTCAACATGCACAAACAATGTTTGTTCAATATTATCGTTGTTTTTCTCCTTGAGATCTGGTGGAATGTTTCTATTTCTTACTTGGAAGTGTGTTTTACTAAGATAACCATCACCAAGGTCCTGTGTTCAGAAACAAGAAAAAAAATTCTGTAAGCAAAATGCTAAATGCCATCACTGTCCTAGAAAATAAACAGCATGTTATTTAAGAATAAGCTTCAAGTTTTTCTACAGGCACTGATAACTGCATTGCTTTTGAGCATCTTCTCACAGGTATTTCTGGCTGGTAAAGGAAGTCATAGACATGAACAGTAAAAATAAAATTTAACATAGCTATTAACTGAATAAGGCAGTTGCTACGTGTGGATCAGGACGAGTGCCAAAGAACTGGGAAGGAGTACACTAAGATCATGGAGAGACGAGCAGCTGCAACGATTTTGACCTATCTGTTTCAAGCAATGCATTTTCATCAGCATAAACTTTCCAATTTTTGGTAAATTGGTTTATTTTTGTTCTGTTCCCTCAACTCCCCCTGCAAAAAAAAAAAACACAACAAACAAAAAAAAACTTAAGAACTTATGTGTGCAAAGTCACAATTTGTTTCCTTGATCACCTCTGAAGGTCAAATGTAAGAGAAAACAGACAAAGCTGTAACTTCTCTCAGTTGCTTTTTCATCATTCTGCTTCCCAGGCCACAAGTCTAGCGTTATAAAAGGCCCTTGAGAAATTTCAGAGTGGCAGGAAAGGGTTTTAGGAGCTTTCCACCCTTGCTGACCTGACTATCTGCACACTTACATAAATGCTTGAGGTTTTTTTAATTAGAAGTAAGAGGATAGAGTAAGCTTAATAATAGATCACTGGCAAGATTTACACTCTGAAAGGGATAAAGAGTGTGCAGAACACAAAGAACAGCAGTTGGATATCAAGAACTTATTTCATGAAGGAAACAAATAAAATGTAATGTAACAGCTAATAAAACCCCAATTTATTTTAGACAAACACAGAAAGCATATGTGCAACATCTGATGAAAAGGATTCTATTCAGAAACAATCTCTCTACAAAATTCATTAATGTAGCATTAAATTGCCTGACAAAGCTGCAAATTTAACTATAATTTAACTCTTTGGTTAATCTGCCATTGCTGGCATGTATTCTGATCTTTAAATCAACGGTTTTATTCTGACACACTAGTTCTCTCTTTTCAAGGACACCGTAGAATATATGTACCTCCAAAATCTGCCACTGGCCGTTTGTTTACTTTGTTCTTAAGTTTCACACAGAAAAAACGATAATGCTCTCTACACGATTTTTTGTCCATGAATTTTTAAGCATGAATCATATTATGTGCAATTATCTTGCTCGGAACTTCTACTGCGTACCTTATTTTCTCACTAGACCTCATTAAGAGTTTGAATCCACCAAAACTTGCCAGATGTCCTGGCTGCAGAGGCAAATGCATCTTGTGCACTGAAGAAGCATGCGGAAGACAACAGTGACAGAAAAAATAAGGCTAAGTCGGTGATACAAAAGCTATTTTTCTCACTCACAGCACTCTTTCTAGTCTCTCCTTGTGGGGCTTTGTGTAAGTGTCAGCAGGAGTAAAGCTACCTGCATTGGTATTTATCCCCGCAAGAGCAGCAAAGAAAGTACTACAGCCACCCACAGAGGTAAAATGCCCCAAGGCACAATGAGCTTTGCCAGAGAAGGGCTGAACACAGCGCTCACCTCCCTGAACCAGTTCTTCCTCTCAGAAGGGGAGCCAAGCTCCACGGCCTTTGCATTCTGTGGTATTTGAGTGCCATGAAAAAATATCTATGGATAGCTGGAAACATGGAGTTAGCAGTCTCTGTATTTGATAGCCGTATGTTAGAGGCTAGAGTAGAGGCAGCAGGGAAGAGAAGCATCCATCCTGTTTAACTCTCCATAGTGCTATCTATTTTGTACACATATATTTTGTACACTTATAAATAAATGCTTTAGGAAGGAATTTGATCCCATTACTGTGACAAGGGACTCTCTTTCTACTCCAGCTGTCTTGTGAGTATCGTAAGCAAAACTGATCTGATACAGCCTTTGATATGATTAGGTAGATTAACCTAACTAAATATGAAACAAACATAAAGGAGAAATTAAACACAGGCACAGCCTTCACAGGCAAGATTTAACTATCCACCCCTAATATCAGCACTGAAGTATAGCTCTGACAGGTCCTACAGAATTGCTCTTGGCTTTTTTACAGCTTTTTTCTGGGGAAAACAAAAACAAAACAAACAAACAAAAATATTACAAAAATAACATAGTTTAGAACATTTCACTTACAGCTATTAACACAGCATTCTGCTTAGGCCATGTGATCTTACGCCACAAGAGCCAGCACCACAAAAACAATGAGTATTTCATCATCTAAATGTAATCTCTTCAGAAAATACAGGAACACAAGAACGCAGTTGCACAAAGCCTGATTTACTTGTGTGGTCTTACTGCTATCAATGGGTCTATTCACGTGAGTATGGAATGAGGAGTGGGATCCAAGTGCATTACATCAGCAAAATTAAAGAGTACCCACAAAACATGTATTAGTAAAAAAAGCAAAATAACAATGAGACATCTTGTTAATGAAAAGCCTCCTTTACAGACTACGTACTATAAATGGATGGTCTCAACGGCCAGGTTTTTATCACACAGGGAAATCACAGTCACTAACTTGGCCCACGAAAAGAAAACACAAACTCTTACAATTTTTTTATACGTGAGAACAAAACTCTATCTCACTCTGTTATTTCCAGCAAAGCTTCTTATTTCACATAAAGTTCAAACTTTGACCCATTTATTAAGTTCCCAACAGAAGCTCAGAACATCTTTCTTTGTTGAATAAATCCTCACAAATATAGCCTTGGAATGAAATCTGAAGTTTCAAATAGTTGCCTGTAAGAAAGAGCGCATTGTAACACTTGGATAATATTTGCACTCTTTTAAAAACTTCTAAGCAGAAAGCATCTAAGGCCAAGATACTAGTTCTCACTAAAATTTTGTTTTCTCTGTGATGAAAGGGTTACAAATGCTGGTACACAATCACTTATGTAGAAATGAGAACATACATTTATACCGTGACTTCTTGCATTTGAAAATAGTACAAGGACGATTTTTTGCCCCAAAATTCATGAAAGAATGGGAAATCACTAAAGCCCTTAAAGTGAACGAAAACAAACAAACAAAAAGCTAGAGCAATAAATTTTCTACATGTTCCAAATGATCCATTACTGCTGTTACTGAAATCTGGTGAGAGAAGCAAGAGAACATACGAAAACCTACATTGTCCACCCATTAAAAAAAGTGTGGCAGAAAGAACTCCTAAAATATTGTAATTTTATTATTAGTTGGAAAATAACAGAAGCATTCCAAGCAGAAAAAGCAAGTACTCAAAATATTTCTGTTGTTGTTCTAGAACACAAACTATGCAGCAATATGCCATATCTATCACAAAGTTTTCATTTCAGCAGTGGTTAAGTACAACACTAGCATGCAGTGACTTTCATAGGTATTTTTAAATCAAAATACAAGAATTTCTGTGAAAGTTTCAGAGAATCTTAGGAAAAGATAGCATGTATTGATACATCTTTATATACTAGCTAATTTGTGTAACTATACACATAATAGCTGAAGACATTATACAGAATTAAGGAAACAAATATATATATAGTAAATATAGTTATTTTTTAAGGAAAACTGATTTTGTCAGGGTAACTTAAAAAGACATGATTGGTTGATAAACATATAAGTGTAACAATATATACTCAGACTTCTGTAAAATAACTGTAGATTCCACAAGCAGAAATTAAAAATTAAAATAATCCCACACTAATCCAATACACACTAAAGGATGAAAAAATGATTAATTCAGACTTCTCAATTGTAACTTAAAAAATGAGGAATCATCATAAAACAAGTGATTCTAATGGGGTCCTGTGGGACTAGTCTTGGCCCCGCGCTATTTAAAATTTTGATTAATGACCTAGAAACAATATGTAATTATTATTGGTGAGGTTTGAAAGTTATGAGGAAGCAGCAAATAATGAGGATGGATCATTAATATAGACAGATTCTTCTGCTTGCTGTATGCAACTAAAATATTATTTTAATACAAAATATTAAGTCGTGCATCTAGAACAAAGACCGTATGCTATTTCAGCCTAAGAGGTTAAAGTGATCCTTGGATATATAACCACAAGCACTTGCCCTGAGTAAGAAGATTTGAAATTCACAGTGATACTACATTCATTGTATAGTTCTACCCCCAGTTAAAAAAAGGATTTTTATCTACAAGACTGATTAAAACACTGGAAAACATGACAAATAATTGAGGAGTTCAACATGTTTTGCTTTTACACTGACACGGATCAGGGATGAAGTGACCTGAATCTAAAGTACCAAAACACAAGACAGTTTTCTGATAAAAGGGTCCTCAGCTTAGTAGACAAGGTATGGCTACCAATGGCTGGAAGATGAAACTGAGCAGTTAAGATTAAAGTAACAGCTCGCTTTCTTTTTTTTTTTTTTAAATTCAATAGCCAACCATTCAAAAGGCTTGTTGAGAGTTGTCACTGTTTCCCCCTCACTGGGAATTCTGAAAATGAAGACTGCATAATGTCTTAAAAAATATTTTCAGATCAAAACAGAAATCATCCCAGGCAACCCTACCCCTTTACTGCACAAGTTGCACTAGGCCACCTCAGCATTTGTTTCTGGATTCACGAACCCTATTCAATACATGTACTGGCCTAAATCCTCATTTAAACCACCTACACACTGTTTTCTTCTTGGACCAGCTGTGCACAATGACATTTATTTCATGTGTTGTAAACTCCCCTTAGAAGTTGTTCCAGCCTGTAGAGATTGTCAACAGCTCAGAAAGACCAGTAGGAGTATCTAAAAATTAACACTATGATTATTTTACCTTGCTAGTTCTCCACTCCCAATCATCTCCTATCTGCCGTGAATGTTTAATAAATTCTTCACAGTATTGCTTGAATCTTTTTTCTTCCAAAAAGAAGTCCTCTTCACCTGCCATGCTACAGGACGTCTGCAGAGCAAACTTAACGTTAGTACTGACAGATTAAATGAACACTAAAAACTTCCACTGATTCCTACCAACTGAATAGTAAAATAACAAAGCATTCTGGGAAAAAAATATTTAAGTAGGAAAAAAAGGCATGATTCTTCAAGTACATTAGAGAATCAAAGATACACAGAATGGCTGAGGTTGCAAGGGACCTCTGGAGGTTGTATAGTCCAATCCCCTCACTCACAGTAGCAACAACTACAGCAAGTTGCTCAGGATTATTTCCAGCTGTGTTTTCATTATGTCCAAGGATGAAGAAGCCATAACCTCTCTAAAGAACCGGTTTCAGTATTCAACTATCATAGCACTAAACACTTCAAAATAAATGAAAAAATTATCAGCTTGTGCTCATTGACTCTTGGGATTTCACTGCATACTACTGAAAATGGTCTAGACCCATTTTCTCTATTCCCATCAGGCATTTATACAGATTTATAAGATTCCACTGACCTTTCTATTCTACAGGCTGAAGAGCCTCAGCTCTCTCAGCCTTTCCTCATATGTCATATCCCTTAAGCACCTTTGTAGCCCTTCCCTGGCCTTACTCCAATATGGCAGTGCCTCTCCTGCACTGTGGAACTGAGGTGGACACAGTACTGTTGTTCTGACATGCTTCCTTAGCAGTACAGGAAACTTGCGGCCATAAACCTGTACACGCTTGTGGGCTCCTTACATTAGCCTATCACCTTTTCCTTGGGGAAAATGTTTAACAACTTTAGTGTTTGTGGTCCCAGAGTCTACACAATAACCATCAAGAGTCCAGCTGAACTAACTGTTCCCGTTCCTGACAACAGGACAGCTCCCAATGGCCAACAAGCTGGTTACAAGGTGTGCTTCAACTAAACACCTTTCTGACCCCTGGAATGCCTCCCTTCTAGGGTCTAAAAAACAAACAAAAAAACCACACCAAAAATAACAAAAAAATTAAAAACCCACCAAAAGGCACAGAAGAAAAACTCCCTTAGAGAATCTGGCTAGTTTTACTTTTTCCCCCCCTTTCAAAGAGTCTGTATCGTAAACACGCCATTCCAAACTGTTTATAGTCATCAGGCATCCCTGTGGCACCACATACAAATCCTCAGTAACCATTACAACTAGATCACACCTGTTCTTAACAAGAAATACAAACAGCATAGTACCTCATGCAACGTTCAGTATTTTTCAGGATCTGGCCCTAAATCACTCTCCTGCCTACCCACCACATAAATTATTCACCGAGCACTTAAAGACACATTTTCACTGGCAGTTAACCCGAGCCCTCATTACACGGTTTGCTCTACCTGGACGTCAAGAAAGAAACGTGGGAAACAAGACACTGTAAATGTTTCCACAATTCGCAAACTTTCCAGCCCAGGCGATGGACTGTGAAAGCCTGCTAAGCGCAGGCAGTTACACCTTAGGTTCTCACAACTGTCTCGAGCGGAGCTCCGCGCTTCAGGCAATTACCAAGTCTAAAGAGACACTGGCTGCGGCAGCAGCGCAGCACGCCCACCTTTCCTTCTTAAAAACACTCCGAAAAAGAGTGACGAG